ATATATATATATATATATATATATATATATATATATATATTTGCAGTTGCTTAATTGTTTCATATGATTTTAAAAAAAAAGAAGTTTTTTTTTTCAATTTTCTCTTTTTAATCAAATTGACCTTTTAAAAATAAATTATAAAATACAAAAAATTATGCAAAATTGAAAACTTTACTTGAGCTTGGAATCGTTGATCAATTGGTCCATCGGGTGGATCCGGTGAACAAGCATTTAAAAAACGCTTCATTGCCTATAAAAAAAAGAAGAGATAGTGGAAAGTTTTAGAATTAAACTTTTTCTAGTAAATTTTTTAAATTTTGCAAAAGCATCACTTAGTAGCTTAGCTTTAAGTATAAAAAGCAAAGTTAAAATTAGATTTAAAATTAGATAATATATATTCTTCGTGTTGGGCGCAAAATATCACTACCACATAATTTAAGAATGATACTAAAAGTATGAATTAATTTCACATGTATGTGAATATCACCAATAAAATTATTCAATTAAAACAAATACTAATTAATTTTTGTTAGGAAACATCTTATCTACCTCTTTTGCATTATTTAAATCTTCTTTCATCTTATTCATCGCTGCTTCAATCAAATTATTAACATTATTTAAAGCCTGTGCTTGTTCCGCATTACGTGGCGTATTTACGACAACTTCAACAGCTTTACAACGATTTAATAAACGACTAGCTGTCGCACTAATATCGTCTCGTTCACCTAAAACATATCAAAAATTTGCATATAAAAATGATAAATTTTGTTGAAATTTAGAAAAGAAATGAACAAAACAAGAAAAAAATGTTATGTATTGATTGCATGGTTTAATATTTTGATGTTTCGATAAAATATTTTGATTTAATGTCAAATGCAAAAAAAAAGTATGCGAAAATTATAATTAATATCTTAATTAATATGGTTTTTCGTAGAAATCACTTTAAGAATTAATAAGAAATCTTATGGAACTGTATTTATAAATTAGAAATAAGTATTGAATTATTCGTTTAATTTGTATCTAATTTAGAAATGAATAATTAATTCTAATTTATAATTTGTTCCTAATTTTAGTTTAGGTTCAAAGGTTTTTATTTCTTTACAAGTATTCATTGTTGCTATTTATTTCAACAAAATTTTTTTTCTTTACATTAATTTATTAAGGATTTTGCTTACCTTGTCCTAAACGTAATAGCTCAGAATCTAAATTCACATTTCCAAGCATATTAATTAATGATTCTTTTTCTTGTTCCAATAGTCCAGCTGATTCTCTGTAATAATAATACTAATAAATGAAATTAATGAGGGAAAAAATGGCATAAAAACTGAATTTTAGAATAAATTAATTTTAGAATAAATTTTTTTTTGAATTTTCAAAACAAAAATTTTCTTCTTTCTTCCTTTTTTTGAAATTCTTTTCAAAATGATCAGTATTTATTTGGATTAGAACTAGTATTTATTTAAAATAATTGGCTATTTTTTCTTTTCTCTTTTCCTTTTTTCTTATTACTATCACTAATTATCACTTTTTTTTATTGTTTATCATCAATTATCACTGATGCATTAAAATATTTCACATTTCTTTTTTTGGTTTATTTTACTTTTTTAATTCTCCTAAAGTATTTTACTTAGTTTAAATCCAACTTCCCTTTTTTGTCTAATTTTATATTTATTTAAATTTTTATAATACAAAAACATTTTTGCATAATTGCTTAATGTAAAATTGAGCATAAACTAAATATTAGCCATTCCCTATGGAAAATTTTATCACATCGATTATTTATCAATTTAATGTTAAAGTCAACTAATAAAACGCAAATAATTCATATTACTAATTGTAACTTGCTAATTTATTGTTGTGTATTTCGATTAATAAATGAAAAGTAACCTTAGCTGTTCCACCCGTTTTTCCACTTGATCCAACATTCCGATCATTCGTTCATTAAAATCATCAACCGATGTCTTCCTAATTAATTGTACCGGAACAGTACGAGTATTACTAGAATTCATTACTGTCTGATGTGAATGATGATTTGCGTAACCGTCTTGCTCTATGTCAAACAAATGGTTAGCTGATGATGATGATGATGATGAATTTACTGGTCGAACAATACGAAAATTTCTAAAAATATAAATCATCATTAATAATATTTAGTATAAATTAGAACTTAAAATAACGAATAGAACAAAAAAGATTAATTACTCGAAAAAGAAAAGCATACAAAAATGGATTAATTCTTCAAACATAACTGAAAATTTAAATAACGTTCTTAATAAAATTCAAATATCAGCAAATAGATGCGACAAAAATTAATTACTTTCAAATCAGGAAGTATCAAAGGATAGACTAATATTTGAAATATAAGTAATAACAAGTTGCTATT